TCTCACCCACTTCCTCACCTTTGCAAACAGAGTACCCTTTTTTATTTTGTTCTTTTATTTATTTGCAGTACTGGGGATTGAACCCATGGTCTCTCAGGTGCTAAGCAAGTGCTCCGTCACTGAGTTACATCCCCAGTCCTTTTTATTTTGAGATAAATTCTAAGTTGCTCAGCTAACCAGGAACTTTCGATCCTCCTCCCTCAGCCTCCCGAGTAGCTGTGATTACAGGCACCACCACTGCGCTTTGCATTCTGTCTTTTTTGTTTGTTGTTTTTGTTTTCCTTAAGACAGGGATCTCTGTCTGTTGTGCAAGCAGACCGTGACTCTTGAGACTCTCCTACTTCAGTTTTCCGAGTGTTGGGACTGTAGGTGCACACATCATTGATTCTGCATTATCATCAACATTGTGAAAATGATGTCCTCAGATGTCAGGAAGATGCATACGATTTTTTGTCCTGAACACTAAGTGGCCCCGTTTGTCATACTGCCATATTAGGCAGTTTGGGGCTTGGGAGCTGTCTTGGTGCACAATTCCCAGCCCACAACTCTACTGCCTCCAATCCTGACACATTAACTGCCAACCTGTGACATTCCTATTCCCCAATATGAACGAGCAGTTTTTAATTGGGAGTGATTTCGTCATTGGAAGTGATTTGGCATGTCTGGGAAGCTTTTGGGATGTAATAGGAATGGGGGTGCTACTGGCATTTAGTGTTTGGAGACCAGGGAGGTGGCTGAACATCCTACAATGCATGGACAGTCCCCACAACTCAAGACATCAAGAGTTGAGATTGAGAAACCCTATTCCAGCTGACAAACCAATTGGAAAACTCAATAAGAATCTACAATCATTGCATACATTTCTGGATCAAATGGGCTAAGGAAGGGCAGCAGGTTTGTTGAAACTCAAGGTCATGGAGTTCCCAGATTCAGGAAGATTCAGGTGAGTCTCATACCTCCTTTCAATTCTACCAGAGGCAGCCTCTGGATTCCTGAGGACAAGCCCTAAGGGATTAGTTCTGAGATACCAAGATCCAACATTCAGCTGGTGTTGAATGAATTTCTATCTGACTGAAGAGACTGTGCCCAAAGCAGTTATTAGGTGATTGATTGTGGGTAGCACTGGCTGGATATTGAAAACAAGGCAGAAGACATAGAGTTGGCCAAAGGAAGCCATTAAATCAATGAGTGTCTAGGATGTGGTAGAGCCAGATGGTGAAAGGTAAATGTAGACCCACCCCAATAAATGAGAAAATGAGAAGGGCTGGCCATGTTGGGATCCAGTCCCAGCATGACCAGATATTTCACCACCAACTCACTTCTAGTCTCCAGCTCCTCCCTCTCAATCACAGGCACCCTGTTTGCCTGTCATATAAAGGAGGTTTTCCCAAAGTGGTTTAGCCAGAACTGGAAGGGCTATGCCTTGTGACAGAAGAGCTTGACTGTGGCACCAGCAGCCAACAGGGGAAGCAGCAGCAATAGGATGGATCCCAGGTGTTCTGGAGCTAGATGGTGAAGCGTGGGCATGCTTTATTCAATTCTGCCTAACTTGAAGCTTTCACCATAACGTTAGAAGAGCTATTGTACACACTCCTGAAAATGCAGGTAAGCAAAAAAGAAGAAAGGTCTCACCCTTTCAGAAGATGCACCAGTTAAATTTTGTTGTGTACCCTTCTATACAAACATGGATGATGTGTACATTTTGATTAAAATCAGGCATGGGTGCTGCTGCTGAAGGCTTTATTTGAGGTGTATGAGGCAGGGAAGTAGTTTGTTTGAGAAATAGGGACTCCCAGAGCACTGCAAGGGGACAATGGAACTGGGGAATTTAGAACTGTGATTACCCTATAGTTACTAAGGAGTTTCATGCATTAGCTGCAAATTCAAGGATAAAGAGAGGTCTGGCTGCTGGACCCTTACTCCCAGATCCCTGCCTGGAAAGTGGGAACCCTTTTCCAGCCTCCCCTGGACCCCAGGATTTCCCTATTAGGCAGACCCTGCTTTTCCTATCTAACTACTAACTGTAGTATAAAACTTATAATGCCTCACCAAAGAGGACCTTGGGCTCCTAAAGCCCCAAGTCACAAGTCCTGAGCTTTAGAGACAGCTTAGCTTCTTAGGCCCTGGGGCCTCAGATCAATCAGCTGGGAGATATAAAGAGAACAATACCTGCCCACAGGATTTGTTTCAAAGAGATAAAGGCATAAGTTCTCAGCTGGGGCAGCTGATTCTCTCCAGAGGTATCTCAGAGAGTGGCTTCCAAATCTTTTCTAGGCAGAATTGTTGCAAAATACAATCTTCTGGGAAACCCCAGAATGTGAGAAGGACCAGAGTGGACAGGCTTTGGGTGAAGCAGGGCAGGTGCTTACCTGCTCAATACCTCCTCTTCCCGCCCCCTAATGATGCATCTTTGAGCAACATAGTTTAATGAATTCTATCTTTATGCCAAAGGCATGATTGGAAGAACAAGCTGGCAGAAGAAATGGGGAAGCTGCATAGCCCCTGTCTGAGTGGCAGCCTTTTGGTCCTTCCTTCTCCAAAAACCCACAGCAGCTTGCCTGGGACCAACTCCCAGATGGATAGGGCACCTGAGGTAGCCTGTAGTGCTTTCTTTCTCGGCTGACCTTTCTTCTAGGCCACAGAACACAAAGGAAGGGCACTGGGGGACTCCCATGTGAGGTGGGGCCAGCCCTGTCCCTATTTCCCCTCAATGGGGTTCTCTTGCTCATAGCCTGAGGAAGAACTGTGACTCACTTCCTGCCTCAGTCTCACTATAGGAGTATTGTTCTCCCAACTGTGGCTGGTGATGGTAGGGGCTACCCCAAGGTTGCCCCTAGAAGTTTTGACTCCTTGTGGGCAGGAAGTCCCCAAACTGGGAGTCAAACAGATTTATGGATTTACCAACTTATCTCCTAGCTCTGAGGACCCCTACATTCTTAAATTTTCTGTCGTGTTTGTAAGGGTATCCCAAAAGCACCTAAACCCATTAATTGAATATTATCTCTTATTTTACAGAGGGATATGGGGGCTCTGAGGAGTTAAGGTGGCACAATACAAAACAGTGCCACAGGGACTTGAACTCCAGTTCACTGGTTGATCTTTCACATGAGTGACTTTAGGAATATTATTTAACTTCTCTGGGACTGTTTCCTTCTCTGTCAAATGTAGTTCATGATGCATAAAAGGCTCCTAATGGAAACAGGACCTGGGGGTATGTGACTATAGTCCCAGCTGCTTGGGAGGCTGAGGCAGGAGAATTGCAAGAACAGGGCAAGCCTGTGCAATTACACAAGACCTTGTCTCAAAATAAGAAGAAGAGCTGGAATGTAGCTCGATGGTAGAGCATTTGCTTGGCCCTTGGTTCAATCCCCATTACCACAAAAATAAAACAAAAAAACATTGTGAAGCCGATACATGCATGTAATCCCAGCTACTTGGGCAGCTACTGGGGAGGCAAATCGCAGTTCCAGCTGGCTGGCCTGGGCAATTTAGCAATACCCTACCTCAAAATAAAATTAAATACAAGCTCCTGAAGGAAAACAGTACCGTACCTATCTCATGAGGTTTGTGGTGAGAAGAGTTAATACATGGAACTGGCTTAGAATGGTGCCTGGCTCCGGGTAAGCACTCCGTGGCATTTGTTTTTATCATTATCCGGGAACTTGTGAAGGAGGTGACAGGATAGCACTCTGCTGCCAGGTTATCTCACAGGGAGCAGGAAGGGATGGGCAGAGGCTGCTCGGCGACCTTGGAATAACCCAGCCTGGGAAGCTCTTGGCCACATTTTCCCTCTTTTCTTTCTCAGCTCAAGCAGTGTCCACCTCAGCCAAGTAGCACAGACTTTTTTTAGGGCAGGAACCCAGGGAGGGAGAGGCTTCAGCTGGTATATTTCAAGTAGCTTGGATTCAGGCTCACTAAAACACCAGGTCTCTTCCAGGATCCAAGGCCTGCTAGTTGTGGGATTTAGGGCAAATTATTTAAACTTTGTACACCTCAGTTTCCTTATCAGTAAAATGGGATTAATAACGTCAGTCTGAGAAAGGATTATGTGGATTAAATAATATACCTAAGGAAGAGATAATCTTATATCACTGGCCAAGTGCCTGGCATGTGTGTGTGTGTGTGGGGGGGGGAGGGAAATTAAAAGATGGGTTACTTCTGCTTATGTATCCACCTGTCCAAACATAAGCAAATAAAATCGTGACTCCTCTAACAGGCCACGAGGTTTGTCTTGCCGCTGGGAGATGGGACCTTCAAGTGGCATGCCCCAGGTCTGCCATCTCAGGCCCCTTCATCCGGTCATGCCCAAACTCAGGACTCAGGAAGAGCTGGGGAAGCGGGGAAGGGCTGGGGTGGGGGTGGAGGTGGGGAGAACGCCAGCTTCCCAGAGTCCTGCCGAGGCTGGGTTCGGAATGACTCCCCAGACCCTTCCCTTCCCATCCCCTCATGAGGGTTCCGAGTTCGGGTGTCCACAACCAGCTGCCCAGGGAGCTCGCGGTACGAAGAGCCGAACCCGGGGGCAGAGACGGGGACTATGGGGCCTAGGGGGGGCGCGCTGGCGACCGTGAGGGCTTTGGGATCATCGGCCCCACGTCCTACCTGCCCCTACCGGGAGCCAGAGGCAGCGGGCGCCCCAGAAGGCCGCAGGGCCGGGCGTGCAGGGTCTCCCGGCGCTCGCACTCCGAAAGCGGGCCCGGGCTGGGCTGCATGCGATGCATGGGCTGGGCTGCGCGGCGGGCCGGCGGCGGCGGCGGCGGCGGCGGCGGCCGGGGGAGCGCGGAGGTGGCGCCGCGAGGGGGAGGGGCGCGGCGGCGGAGGAGGAGGAGCCCGGGCCGCCGCCGCCGCCGCCGTGACAGCGGCCCGAGTAAACAAGCCGCGCCGCCGCGGCCCGGCCGCTGCCCCTGCCCGAGCCGGAGCGAGGCCGAGCCCTGCCCTGGTCGCCGGCCGGGCCGAGGCCGCGCCGCCGCGCCTCCCCGCCTCCGCACCGTGACGCTGCTGCTGGCGCGGGGACCGCGCCGAGCCCAGGCCCCCGCCGCCGGGCTCTCCGCTCGGCCGAGGGGCTCCCGAGCCGCCGCGGCGCTCGCCTGGAAAAGTTTCCCCGCCTGGGCTCCCCAGGGTAAGCAGTGAGGGCGCGGGGCCCGGGGCCCAGGGAGGCAGCGCACCGGGGTACCGGGCCCGCGGGGAGCCGTTCAGGCCGGGCCGCTCTGCCCCAGGAGAGCGAGCTCCGCGGCCCGGGCGCCCCGGCGGAGAAGAATCGAGGGCGCTGGTGTCGGGGTAGCCCTGACCCGGGCCCTTGCTGCCCGCCCGGCTTTGGGAACTGGCTCCGGGGCTGGTCCGGAGGTGGAGCCACGGGGACCAGGAAGGGCGCTCCGTAGCCCACCTGAGCGTCCGGGCCCCGGCCCTGGTCCCTGCCCGTGCCGGTACTTTTCCGCTTGGGGCCGGGGCGAGCCCTCTGACCCCAGGAAGCGCCTGCGGGGCCTCTGCTGGGGGCGGGATGGGGAGAGAGAATTCCGGAGGCGCTGGGTGCTCCCGCCTCCCCGCCGTCCTCCGGGGCCGCCGCCGGCTCGCCCACTCCGTGGCTGGGGAGGGCCTGCGTCCCACCGGGAGAGGGGAGGAGCGGAGCGGCAATTCGTGAGGTAGAGGAGATCATTCACGCTGGAGCCTCGACTCAGTCCGCACACCTGTGTGGCGGGCGCACTCAGGTGCGGGATTCGGGGATGCTGGCAGGCCGGCTCAGGTAGGTTCCAGGGCTGCTTCCTCCCGAGGCCTGGTGGAGGCCCCTGCTGTCCCCGTGGGGTGGCTAGACCAAGGGGCGGCCCAATTCCCAGACAGGTCTGACGGCAATCACTTGTCTGGTCAGTATCTGCTTTCCCATCACCCACACCCCTTTTCCCCGCGGGGGCAGACCCTCATCTACTTGAGAGTGTTGGGATGTGAGGGGAATCCAGGTGATGTGCTCTTAATGAGGACTGGGCAGCTTCTTGCCAGGTGTGGACACAGCATAGGAGAGTAGTCAAGCTTGCCCCAACTTAACCAGAGCAGCCCTAGCTAGGTTTACTATTACCTATACTAGGCTTCCACATAAGATTTGATTTTTTTTTTTTTTTTAATAGAGGATTCTGTGGCTTTAAAAAAAAGTTTGAAAACCGCTGGTCTAACAGTTTTTACCACCAAGGAAACTGAGGCCCAGACAGAGGAAGTGACTTGTATAAGATCACACAGCAAATACTAGCTGAGCAGGAACTAGCAGTCAGAATTTCTTGGGAGCCTCCCAGTGCCTGTAACAGGACCTGGCTGGGGTCTCTGATTGAAAGAGAGATCTGATTGGATTTTCCAGTGGCCCTCAGTGGCTTGCTCTGTGGTTGTATGGGAACCAGACCTCCAGTGCCTGGAAAACAGCAGCCCAACCTGAGGTAGGTGCAGTGGGGTAACCATCTGTGTTGGGAAAGTCTGAGACTGGAGAAATGGCCTTTGCCCAAGAACAACAGTCAGAACGAGCACCCACATCTCTCTCTGGTCAATCCTGGAGCTCAGGTCCAAGTGAGACCCATCACAAGGGGACAGAAATACAGCAAGCCTCAGAGTTTAAGACAACTGGGACTCAGAGGATGAGTCAGAGTCTAAGATGGGGGTGGGGAGAAGCCCATTCATTCACTGTTCTCAGCTCCTGCTCTTTGTGTGTGGGGGGTGGGGGGGTCCTTCCTGTGTCCTGGATGCTAAGACAGAACTGTCTGCAGGGCTTTATGGCTCTCAAAGCCATAAGGATACCTTACTATGGCTGAGGACGCTAGGTAGAGGATTGGTAGGCTCTCTTTCTTGGGGTCTGTTTAGTTGTGCCTGAAGCCTGCTTTCTTTCTGGGTGCTGCAAGGTAATTAGATAGTTGGTTAATCATCTTTAACACCAAGCAGCTGCAGCTCCATCTACAGTATGCTGGAATCTGGGCTAGACCCAGATGAATTCAGCCTTAGATTTGAAGGCCCATAGCACTGTGGTCAGTGTCTCTTTACATGACATCTGGATCCAAGAGGCAGCTGTGTGGCAAGAAGTGGAGAAGATCTCATCTACTTGGAAGGCTGAGGCATGAGGATCACAAGTATAAAGCTGGCCTTGGCAACTTTGCAAGATTCTGTCTCAAAAAATAAAATAGGCTAGGGATATAGCTCAGTGGTAGAGTACATTTAGGTTCAATCCCTAGTATACCCGCCCTCCCACCTGGGGGGAGGAAGAGACCCAGTTCCCATATGGCTGTGCCCCCTGGGCCCCATATACCTTTTATTTTTATTTAAATTTTATTTTTAGTTTTAGAGATTGAACACAGAGGCACTTTACCCCTGAGACACATCCCCAGTCCTTTTTCTTTTTAAATATTTTGAGACAGTGTCTGGCTAAATTGTTGAGGCTCACCTCAAATTTGTGATTCTCTTGCCTCAGCCGCCTGAGTTGCTGGGATTACAGGCATGTGCCACTGAGCCTGGCCCCACATTCTTTTAAATGGAGCCTCAGGGTCCCTTCACTCCCAGGGACTGGGACATGCTTCAGCTGCCCAAAGCTTAATGGAGCTGTGGCTCCCAGGCTTATCATGGAGCCCTGTGGGCTCTGCTCATCAGGGGTGTGGAGAAGATGCATTGTAGATGTCTCCTGCCATCAGCTGTCAGGTTATTTTGGTGTAAACTGAAAATACTCCAGGAATTATGTGGAGTCCCCCACCCCCGCCCCCAGCCTGCCTGGTGGGACTACAGCAGCCAGAGAGGCTGGTTGTGGCTGTGACAGCCCCTGAAGAAACAAGGGGTTCCCAGTGTCTAGCCTGCCTGCCCAGCTCCCCAGGGCCTGTGTGAGCTGGGGTACCTTCATTTGCCACCTGGCAGTATGGCCTCCTTTGGGGCTGGGCCAAGGGTATGGTAGGGGCATGGGGCCCTGTGGGCAGGCACAAAAGTGACTCAAGGAGCTTGGCACTGAGACAGGGTACCCCCAGCAGCCCAACTGAGACTACCCTAACTGCTGCCCACCCCAGGAGCTTGGCTTCTGGTTAGTCAGGGTCCTTGTATGGGGACAGTTATGTGGCCCCAGGCAGAGAGGTCCCGCTGTCTGTTTGCTGAAGGAGGAAAAACAACACATGGACTATTGATTCAGCCTCACCTTGGCGCTCCTGGCTCGGCAGCCAGTGTTTGCCCTGGCTGTCCAGCTCTGATTACACAAGGTGGTGGGCCTGGAGCAAGCAAGGGGGTGGCTGGGAGCCCCCAGGCAAGGCAAGGCTGGGAAGCCCCCGAGTTCCCCAGGAAACAGTAAAAAGAACCTGGGCACCCTGACTTTGCAGATGGCTGTCGTCTCAGCCTTAGAGGGAGGTGAAGCCTGGGGGATCTCCTGTGCTCCAAGCATGTCCTCCCAGGCTCCATCCCAACTTGGGTTGACCATTTTTCCTCCCAGGAACTGTGGGCTTTGTGAGTAACTCCCTCGGGCTGAATCTTGTTTTGCTGAACCAGGAAACTCTAGTGAGTTTGGTAGACCCTGTTCATTTAAAAACCTTTAAAAAGCCAACATTTTTATTCCTTTATAAAATACACCTCGCTATTGTGGATAATATGCAATGATACAAAGAAGGAAATACCAGTTACTTGAAATTGTCTTCATCTTGAGAGAACCATTGCTAACATTTTGGCGTGTGTCCTTCCAGATTTTGTTTTGGGTTATGTATAAATATGCATGTATAAATAGTTTTTTTAAAAAAACAAAATAAGATTGTGTGTACATACTGCTTTATAGTGTATCTTTTTTACTTTGATTATGGTGAATTTTTATTTGTTGTTTCTGATTTTGAGAAAAAAAGGAACTCAAAACTTGATACTCTTTCTTCATCCCACTTCTGTTCTCTGGTTGAGAAAGAAGGAGATGTATGTGGGGATGGATCTGGGGCTCGGAGCTAGAGCGCTTGCCTAGCACGTGCGAGGAGCTGGGTTTGACCCCCAGCACCACATAAAAATAAATAAATTAAATAAAGGTATTGTGTCCAGGGCTGGGGATGTGGCTCAAGCGGTAGCGCGCTTACCTGGCATGCGTGCGGCCCGGGTTCGATCCTCAGCACCACATACAAAGATGTTGTGTCCGCCGAGAACTGAAAAATAAATATTGAAATTCTCTCTCTTTCTCTTAAAAAAAAAAAAAAGGTATTGTGTCCAGTTACAACTAAAAAATAAATATTAAAAAAAAAAAAAAGAAAGAGATGTGTGTGTATAGGGTGGTCCATGTGTCAGTTTATTACACTGACCTTGGAGGGGGTGGATTTCTTCAGGGGTTTTTTGGTTTAACTCCTTTCTCCTCCACTAGCACCCACACCCTCTTTCTTGTACTAGGGACTGAACCCAGGTGTGCTTTACCACTGAGCTATACCTCCAGACATTTTTATTTTTTTGAGAGATAGTGTCTTCCTAAGTTGTCGAGGCTTGCCTCAAACTTGGAATCCTCCTGCCTCAGCCTCTCAAGTAGCTTTAATTACAGGTGTACGTCACTACCCCTGGTTTCCCAGAGCCTCTTTTAGGCCCAGATTGAGCCATGGGGTAGAAAGGGCAGCCTTAGGCATGTGGCTGAGGAGGGACTGACTCTTTTCCCCTTTTTCCCCTGTTCCTCTCAGAGCCGGCAGCCCTCATTCTCCTCCACAGCCCTGCCCATCTCGGCTCCATGCCCCCACCAGTCAGCCCCGGGCCACAGGCAGTGAGCAAACACGTGGAAGCTAAAGCCCTGTGACCAGGCCAAGAAGACGGGAGCTCTGGGGTTCCAGCCTCCTGCCGCCCCATGGAGCTGAGGCCCTGGTTGCTATGGGTGGTAGCAGCAGCAGGAGTCTTGGTGCTGCTGACAGCTAATGCCGGTGGCCAGAAGGTCTTCACCAACACGTGGGCTGTGCACATTCCTGGAGGCCTAGCCGTGGCTGATAGCGTGGCACGAAAACATGGGTTCCACAACCTGGGCCAGGTAGGTGTGTCCTGGCCTGCTGGCCTAGGCACAGGACATTGCCTGGGGGTGAAGACAGAACAGTGATTCTGGCACCAGAGGACTGAAACAATTGGGCTTATCTTCTCAGGGTACCTAGGTAGTAGGCAAGTTCTGGGTGGCCAGTGGGATAGAAGCAGTGGCTTGTCCTACCTGTGGGCTTTTGGCATAGGTTGCTCAATCAGCATATCCAGTGAGGGCAAAGTCCCCTGCTTGTTCTTGTAGGGTCCTGGGCAGGAAGCAGATGCCCCACCACCCACTGCTGTTGTGAGCCTCCCCTTCCAGCCATGGTCTACCCCCAGCCCCCGCTCCTGGGGACTGAAAGCCCATCTCAGTTACCCTGATCTATTGCAGATCTTCGGCGACTATTACCACTTCTGGCATCGAGCAGTAACAAAGCGGTCCCTGTCACCTCACCGCTCACGGCACAGCCGACTGCAGAGGGAGCCTCAAGTGAGTATGACCATAGCCCCTCTTGTTGCCACCCTACCCTTCTCACTGTCAGGAGCTCCTCTTGCTTCCTCCCCTCACCCAAGCTATATCATCTCTCCCTTGCTTCCTCCCAGGTGCTGTGGCTAGAACAACAGGTGGCAAAGCGAAGATCAAAGCGGGATGTGTACCAGGAGCCCACAGATCCCAAGTTTCCCCAGCAGTGGTACCTGGTATGTGGCCTCTGGGGGACTTGACCCCTCCAGATATGTCTAAGACTTTCTCTAATTCTTTTTCTTTCCTTTGCTGGGTGATCTTTCCTCAGCACATCCCTCCAGAGCCCTTAACATTTCACAGAGGCTATAAGACCAATGGTGACTCTTCTAGAGCTGGGATGAGTGGAGAATGAGGTTTTGGGGTGGTGAAGGGATTCTTCAAATTAGTCCTAACCTTACACAATCAACCACATCTTGTAAATAATCAGGTTGGGTGTCTTCACAGTCTGGTGTCACTCAGCGGGACCTGAATGTGAAGGAGGCCTGGGCCCAGGGCTACACAGGGCACGGCATCGTGGTCTCCATCCTGGACGATGGCATTGAGAAGAACCACCCAGACTTGGCAGGCAATTATGTGAGGAGGTGGGGGAGGGAGGTAGTAACCCCTGCTGAGGAGTATCAAGGGGACCTCATGTTCTGCCATTTGATTAGACTGCTCCTGACAATGACCACATCCTTTCCAGGATCCTGGAGCCAGCTTTGATGTCAATGACCAGGACCCTGACCCCCAGCCTCGGTACACACAGATGAATGACAACAGGTAAGAAATGGCAGGTCCCTGACCTCTGTCTCCCTTCTCCTTTCTTTCACCAAGGACATAGGGCTGAGCCTAGGTGCCTAAGGCATGTTGTGCCTCATGAGCCTGAGTGCCACAGTCCTGGTCCAGTTGGAGATGGCCACAGGCCCAGTGGAGTGTGTGTGGCAGGGGTCTGTGCACACACATGGATGGTGATCATGGGTAGAGGGGTGTGCTGATCCTTCCTGCTGCTCAGGCTGCCCTGGCCTCTCTGCATCTGCTGTGGTGTGTCCATTCCGCTAATGCTCTGCTTTTGGTCCTGGCAGGCATGGCACACGGTGTGCAGGAGAAGTGGCTGCAGTGGCCAACAACGGTGTCTGTGGTGTGGGCGTGGCCTACAACGCCCGTATTGGAGGTAGGTGTGTGCCTTGGTCCCTCTATCCCATATTAGAAGTGGAAGGGCCCTTTTGGTAGGAGTGTACTCTGCTTGTTTTCCTTTTGGCCACACATGCCTCATTCCCATTGGGGATCCTTCTGTCCATAGGGGTTCTTAGTAACTCAAAGAGCTAGACTCCCAGTGATGGTGGTACTGTGGGGTGGGGTGGGTGTCTATTAGCAGGAGTCTAAATCCTGACAACCCACTCTGAGTCCTTACATGGCAGGCCTTGATCACCTCACTCTTCTGAGAACTGAGAATCTTTCTAATCCAGAATGAGAGGCTAGGGGCAGAAGGCACTGTCCTCTTCCTCTCCTTGGGTCTTATCTTTGAAAGGCAATAGTTAGGGGCTCAGGGTTTCCCAGCACTGACCTCTACCCTCCCCTGCTCCTCTCCTGCCTCTCCCCTGGGGTGTGGGACTGGGTTTATCCCCAGAGGGGCCCGTGGTAGTGGGCCCACACAGCATCCTTCTTCTGATCCTTTCTATGGCCAGGGGTGCGCATGCTGGATGGTGAGGTGACAGATGCAGTGGAGGCACGCTCACTGGGCCTGAACCCCAACCACATCCACATCTACAGTGCCAGCTGGGGCCCTGAGGATGATGGCAAGACAGTGGATGGGCCAGCCCGCCTTGCTGAGGAGGCCTTCTTCCGGGGGGTTAGTCAGGTAAGGTGGGAGTCCTTGCCCAGGCCTGGAAACCAGGCCTAGCCTCTTGGGGATGGCTGGGCACGGTTCTCTCCATAGCTCTCTTTTGTTTTTATTTACTGTGTTTATTTTTAATTGTACACAAGTGTCTTTATTAAAACATTAAGGGCTAGAGGTGTAACACAGTAGTAGAACACATGCTTTGCATGTTCAAGGGCCTGGGTTTGATCCCAGCCCTATTAAAAAGTAGGGAGGACAAAAAAAAGCATAAGTTAAATAAAAGTCACCCATAATACTACTCCCTGGAGATCACCACTCTGAGCATTTTGGTAGTGATTCTAGTCTATTTTTATTTTGTGCACAGAGATAAATTTTGTATACATACTTATCTACCAGGGATCTCACAGGGGATGTGAGAGGTGGATCTGGATCCAGAGTTCCTGGAGAATGAGACTCTAGCCTTCCCAGTCTGTAGCAGTGTCTTCAACTGGATCTCCCCCAAGTACCTATCCTGAGTGACCCCAGCCCACTTTGTCCACAGGGCCGCGGGGGGCTGGGCTCCATCTTTGTCTGGGCCTCAGGGAATGGGGGCCGGGAACATGACAGCTGCAACTGCGACGGCTACACCAACAGTATCTACACGCTGTCCATCAGCAGTGCCACACAGTTCGGCAATGTGCCCTGGTACAGCGAGGCCTGCTCATCCACATTAGCCACCACCTACAGCAGTGGCAATCAGAATGAGAAGCAGATTGTGAGTCTTGCATGGGGCAGGGAACTGGGGAAGTGAGGCTGTTATTGGCTCTGCTCAGGGTCTCTTTTTAGACCTCTCTGCCTCTCATCCCCATGTGGCTGGGTGATAGCCATTCAGGCATCATGGAATGTGAGTCGGAACCTCTCTAAGACTCTTGAGAGCTGTGAAGCTATCTGTGAAGCCCTTTAGGCATGTAGAGTCTCCATAAAAACAGGCATTGCTCTCCAAGCTCTTGGTGAACCTCCTTATTCCTTGGGAAACTAAAGTCCAGAAGGGGCCATGCATTGGTCTATCCATAGCAAGTTAGTAAGACATCAGTTGTGATGGAGGTTTCTTAACCCTGGCTCACTATGCCATTGGTAGTATCCAGGGCCTGTGGACAGATGGAAGGCAGGCAGGTAGCCCTTCTAGCCCCCTGTACCCATCAAAAACCAAACGCTTTTGTCTCCTGGCAGGTGACCACTGACTTGCGGCAGAAGTGCACAGAGTCTCACACAGGCACCTCAGCCTCTGCCCCCTTGGCAGCTGGCATCATTGCTCTGACCCTAGAGGCCAAGTAAGTGGATGAGGAACATCCTTGTTTCAGTGTCCTATGCAGGGCAGTATTTACTATCCAGCTTTTCTCCAAAAAGATTGAATCCTGGCCTCTCCCTTCCTCCTTTACAGTAAAAACCTCACCTGGCGGGACATGCAACATCTGGTGGTTCAGACCTCAAAGCCAGCCCATCTTAATGCTAATGACTGGGCCACCAATGGTGTGGGCCGGAAAGGTGAGGGCAGGGCAGCCCAGGGGGAGCTGGACTCCAAGGTAAGTGGAGGAGGACATTCTCTGCCTCCTTGCTGATTCTGCCTTACTTGTCCCCACAGTGAGTCATTCATATGGCTATGGGTTATTGGACGCAGGTGCCATGGTGGCCCTGGCCCAGAACTGGACAACAGTAGCCCCCCAGCGGAAGTGTATCATTGACATCCTCACTGAACCCAAGTGAGAACTGGACCTGGGCTGGGAGGAGGCAAGTGGGGCCTGAAAGCTACAGGGGGTGCCTCCTGGTCTTTTTGGACAAAGTTGACACCCCACTGTGATACTCTCTGCACAGGGACATTGGCAAACGGCTAGAGGTGCGCAAGACTGTGACTGCATGTCTGGGCGAGCCCAACCATATCACCCGGCTGGAGCATGCTCAGGCGCGGCTAACCCTGTCCTACAATCGCCGTGGCGACCTGGCCATCCACCTGGTCAGCCCCATGGGCACCCGCTCCACCCTCCTGGCTGCCAGGTTCTTGCCCTGTACCCTGCTCGCCCTGCCCATCCCCTCTTCTCCCTCACAGCCCATGTTCAGTCATTCACCCACACCCCTAATAATCACTATCAAATACTACTGAGGGCATTGTTGGCATTTGGGGAGGGACAGCTTTATCCTATGGGATTGCCTCATATCATAGGAATCCCTCGCTTCTACGTATTTAACATCAGTGTTGTGTTCCCTTATGAAATGCTTTTGTCCCTCTAGAGTCCCCTCGCTGAAAACATTTGGTCCCCTGGGAAACAGCCAAGCCAATAGGCATTTTCAGCCCGGCGGGATTGGTGCTGCATGAGGGGAAGGGTGTTTGGCCCATGTCTTGTCTGTTAGGTGTCACCTGGCCTGGGATCCCCCAAGGCCCTCAAATGGCTATATTCAACTCCCTCCTCCAGGCCACATGACTACTCTGCAGATGGGTTTAATGACTGGGCCTTCATGACAACCCATTCTTGGGATGAGGACCCTTCTGGCGAGTGGGTTCTGGAGATTGAAAACACCAGCGAAGCCAACAACTATGGTATAGGGGATACTTGATTGGTGGGGAACAAGGAAAAGAGCTGGAGGGACCTGGTGTGATGCCAGTGCCCTCTAACCCTTGCTTCTTCCCCCCCCCCCCCCCAACAGGGACACTGACCAAGTTCACTCTTGTACTATATGGCACAGCCCCTGAGGGGCTCCCTACACCTTCTGAGAGCAGCGGCTGCAAGACCCTCACATCTAGCCAGGCCTGTGTTGGTTAGTAGTGGGTTCTATTGGGACCAGCAGTTGCACTGGGTTAGGTGAGGGACAGTGGGTGCCTGTCCTGAAGCCCTGCTCTAGGAGAATAAGGGGTCTTAAAAGACCTGGAGGATCCTAGGGACTGTGGTAATTGTGCTTGGGGCTGCAGGTCTAGGTTCACCAGGCTGCCATGGACCTGGGACTGAGGGCTTATGTGGCTCGTGGCTGTGGTCCACTTGGCTGACACTACCTTTCTCTCTCTATGCTGGCAGTGTGTGAGGAAGGCTTTTCCCTGCACCAGAAAAGCTGTGTCCAGCACTGCCCACCAGGCTTCACACCCCAAGTCCTCGATACACACTATAGCACTGAGAACGACATGGAAATCATCCGGGCCAGTGTGTGTGCCCCCTGCCATGCCTCCTGTGCCACATGCCAGGGTCCAGCCCCCACGGACTGCCTCAGCTGCCCCAGCCATGCCTCCCTGGACCCTGTGGAGCAGACGTGCTCCAGGCAAAGCCAGAGCAGCCGCGAGTCCCCTGAACAGCAGCAACCACCAGGGCTGTCCCCAGAGGTGGAGGCAGAGCCACGGCTGCAGGCTGGGCTATTGCCCTCTCACCTGCCTGAGGTGGTGGCTGGCCTCAGCTGCGCCTTCATTGTGCTGGTCTTTGTCACTGTCTTCCTGGTCCTGCAACTACGTTCAGGCTTCAGCTTTCGGGGGGTGAAGGTGTACACCATGGACCGTGGCCTCATCTCCTACAAGGGGCTCCCCCCTGAAGCCTGGCAGGAGGAGTGCCCATCAGACTCAGAAGAAGATGAGGGCCGGGGCGAGAGGACCGCCTTTATCAAAGACCAGAGCGCCCTTTGACGAGCCCACTGCCCGCCCCTTCAAGCCAATCCCTTCCTTGGGCACTTTTTAATTCACCAAAGTATTTTTTTATCTTGGGACTGGGTTTGGACCCCAGCTGGGAGGCAAGAGGGGCAAAAACTGCTTCCTATCCAATCCTTGGGCCCACCTAGCTGCCCAAGGTAGGGCCCCAGGACCAGCTGGGGACAGGGGAGGACCTCACCTCACCCCCAGCACCCCTCCATGTGGAGAAAGGAGTGAAACCTTTAGGGCAGCTTTTCAAGGCCTAGGCCCCAGCCGGAGTTCTTGTGGAGTGAAGAGAGGCAGTCCTTTTGGGGATTCACGACCCAGGCTGCAGCTCTTGCCCCTTCCCTGTCCCTCTAAAGCAATAATGGTCCCCATCCAGGCAGCAGGAGGCTGGCCTGAGAGGTATTTGAAGGAGAGGTCACCTCACCAAGGGCTTTTGCATCCCCAATCCTGTCCCGCTCCTCTGGTGAGCCTCAGCAGAAGTGGCAATCATAGGAAGGGACCAAGACGAGGCAGGCGCTTCCAGGTGTGCACATGTGTGTGTCCCCTGCCTCTGTGCTATAGGCCTTTACAACAGATGGCTGTCAGGCTGAGCCAGGCTGGTACGGGCCCCGGCTGCAGCTTGGGGCGGGGGGAGCCCATGCTGGTGTCCTGACCACCCTCTTATCTCCAACACCCTCCCCTCCCACCAGGGCCCAAGTCCCTGTTTTCTGAGCCCGGAGCTGCCTGGGCTGTTGGCACTCACAGTCCCGGAGCCCCTGGGTGGGTGGTGGGGAGGGACGGTGGCCCAGCCGGCCTCTTCCGCCTCCCACCCAATGCTGCTTTCCCCTGTGGGGATCTCAGGAGCTGTTTGAGGATATATTTTCACTTTGTGATTATTTCACTTTAGATGCTGATTTTTTTTTTTTTTTGTATTTTTAATGGGGGTAGCAGCTGGACCACACCCACCTTCTCACACTCACCTTCTCACACCCACGTCCACCCTGCTCTTCCCCTGGCTGCCCAGCTCCTGAGGTGTAGGGGCTGCAGCATGTTGCTGAGGAGTGAGAAGGAGCTGAGCCCCAAGTCTTGAAGAGAGAGGCCAGCCAGGCGGGCTCTAGGAAAAGGGGTCAGGGTGGAAGGGGCAGGCTGACATCTGTGTTTCAAATGGGGCTTGTGCAAAGGGCTGATGGGTCATTGGCTCTCCAAGTGCCAGGGGTGGGCAGGTGGTGGCACCTAAGCCCCCTCCAACACTGTGCCCTAGCGGAGAAAGCACTGACCTGTTATGCCCCCCCAAGCCACCTCTTCTGACGTGCCTTTTGCACCCCTTCCATTAGGACAATCAGTCCCCTCCCATTTGGGAGCCCCATTTTCTTTCCCCTAGCCTTTCCAGGTACCCAGTCACCTGCCCAGGGGTGCCCCCTCCTCTCCCATCCCCCTACCCTCGTGGCCAGCCCGGCTGGTTTTGTAAGATACTGGGTTGGTGCACAGTGATTTTTTTTCCTTGTAATTTAAACAGGCCCAGCATTGTTGGTTCTATTTAATGGACACGAGATAATGTTAGAAATTTTAAAGTGATTAAACGTGCAGACTATGCAAATCAGGCCTGTCCTCCGGTGTGGTGATATATTTCTTCCCAGGATCACTGGCTGTGTCCTGGATGGGGAAATGGGATCTGGACTGGAGGCCATTTAGGCCTACTGATGGCCTGCCTGCCTGCCTATAGGTAGGCCTGTGTCAGAAGGCCAGGGACTCCAGGGCCTCCTGCAAGGAACAGATAAATGCACCAGGGCAGCCCTGTCCTCTTCCACCTCCAAGAGGAAGCTGGAGACAAGCCCCAGGGTGTAGGGCAAGTGAATGATAGGGGCTGAACTGGGTAGAGAATAGGTGGGCCTGTGTTGCCCCTGAAGTGACCTAGCTACAAGCCACAGGGCTGAGGCCTAAAGTGGGGTCTGACTGAACACAAAGATGACATTGGTATGTGGGGTGCTGAGTCCCACATGGAAAACTATATACCTAGCCATTCCCCAGCTGGAACGTTGGGGAATGACTAGGTATGCCAGTCCCAGGTTTCCCTTAGAATAGAAATGCTTGCTAGTGATAGGGATTGGAGACCTTGCTCCCAGGACCTGTGCCTGACAGGCCTCTCGGGTGATTTTATTCAAATAGAGGCTGGCCTGAGTTCTCCTTAGGGAATCCAGTGGGATGGGGAGGGCCTGGACTAGTTTTCCCGTTCCTTTTCTGGGTCACCCTGGCGGCCTGCTAGGACCTACGTCTATGGATTCCCCCAGCCCAGCACCTGTCTAGGGCCTCACCCTTCACCCATCCCCACTTCCACCGAAGGCCCCTTCTCCTCGTTCCTGGGACGGTGCTGGGCCCTGGGGAGTGCCGCGCAGGCCCCTCTCCACACGGCCATTCTTTCCCGGCCTCCCCCTCCCTTCCGTTTCCGTGGCCGAGAGCCGGCCGGAGGCTACGGCCCAGCACTGAGCAGGGGGGCGGGCGGGCGTCGGGCCGCAGGCCGCTGCCGCCCGCCCCTTCCCCTCCGCGGGCCCGCCCCGGGGCCTGGGCCAACTGAAACCGCGGGAGGAGGAAGCGCGGAATCAGGAACTGGCCGGGGGTCGGCGCGGGGCTTGAGTCGGTCCACGGCCGCTCCAGGAGCAGCTACCCGCGCCGGTAACATCAGCCTCTCAGCCCAGCAGGCGACGACGCGCGCAGACGTGGGGCGGGAAGCTGGGTGGTAGTGGGCAGGGACCGGGCAGGCGTCCTGAGAGCCTGACACCCATTTGGGTGGGGGTAGGGGCCGCGGAAGGGCCTGGTGGCCACAGTTACAGGGCTCCAGCTGTAGGCTCCTGAGGCTCCAGCCCTCCTAGGCTTGGCTCTGTGGAGGGCCTCTAACTGGTTTTTGGATGAAGGACCTAGGAATGGCGCTGGCGCCAGACTGGTTCCTCTCCACAATTGGAAAGGGGACCTCTGGCACTAGGGCTTGACTGGGGGCATAGGAAGCAATGAAGGCCAGTCCGAGGCCAGGCTACTGTCCTGTACCTATTGCTGTTTCAGCAGGGTAGGACCCCACCCACCTTCTACCTGTTTGCAGCTCCTCCTGGCCCTGCAACCCTTTTGACCTTGTAGTCCCCAGCCTCTTTGTTCCCTCATTTCACTCCAGCTGCTGCTTTGCCCCCAGTGATGGCCTATTATCTGTCCCTAGGACACCATTATGGGCTTCTCCTCAGAGCTGTGCAGCCCCCAGGGCCATGGGGCAGTGCAGCAGATGCAGGAAGCAGAGCTTCGCCTGTTGGAGGGCATGCGGAAGTGGATGGCCCAGAGGGTCAAGAGTGACCGGGAATATGCAGGACTTCTTCACCACATGTCCCTGCAGGACAGCGGAGGCCAGAGCCGGAGTAGCGGCCCTGACAGCCCTGTCAGCCAGGTGGGTTTCTGGGGTTCCTGTGGGTGCTAGCTACACCTGCCCACCCCCTTCCTTTCCTAAAACTCTCTGGGATGGAGTTGGAGATTTGGCAGGCCCAGGCTTGGGAGCCATTGTCTACTCTTCCCTGCCTCCCCCATCCTGTGCATAGTCATGGGCAGAGATCACCAGCCAGACAGAGGGTCTGAGCCGGGTGCTACGGCAGCATGCAGAAGATCTGAACTCAGGGCCCCTGAGCAAGCTGAGCCTCCTGATCAGGGAGCGGCAGCAGCTGCGCAAGACCTACAGCGAGCAGTGGCAGCAACTGCAGCAGGAGCTCACCAAGGTGGGTACATGGCAGACAATCATTTCTGTCATAGTGTGGAGCTTAAAAGGAATGATTTTAAACTAGAGCCCCTAGATTAACTGGGGAAGTGGAAGTCCCTGACCGCAGGCCTGGCCTCAGGATGGCATGCTCCAGCCTTGCTGTAGCTCCCCCACCCTGGCCCCCTCACTTGGGCTGGCCTGCAGCACAGCTGGCCTGGCCATGTGTTGTCTGTTCCTAGCCATAGTGCTGGGAATGCAAGGATGGGTGAGGCATGTCACTACCTGGGTGGAGCCCAGGGTCTGTGCTCTGCCTCCTGTATGGACCCCAGAGACAGTGAGAAGAATGAGTGTCTCTCTGTTTGCTTTTAGCTTAGGACTCCTTCTCAGGGCCCCAGAGACAGGGCAGCAGAGTGGCCCCCTCACAGCTGAAATTAGCCTGCCTAGCTCTTAATTCCACCAGCTCCTTAGTTGTAGGCTGTATGATTTGGGAGCTGCTCTTTCTCTGGGTGCTTCAGTCCAGTGTTCACTGTGTCACTGGAACCACACCTCTTACGCCAGCACAGAGCCTGGCTTTGCCACAGACCCACAGCAGCCCCTGGTGGCCAACCTGGCCTCACACTCCTCGGGAAAATCCCCAGCCGTTTTGAAATTTTTTTTGGTGGCGGGAGGAGACTGGGGATTGAGCTACATCCCTAGACCTATTTTGTATTTTATTTAGAGACAGGGTCTCACTGAGTTGCTTAGTGCCTCACCATTCCTGAGGCTGGCTTTGAACTCGTGATCCTCCTGCCTCATCTGGCCAAGCCACTGGGATTACAGGAGTGTGCCACCACCCCTGGCCATTTTTAAATTTTGGCCTCAAAACTTGGGGTCTTCCTGCTTCTGCCTCCCGAGTTGCTGGGATTAGACATTAGGATCTGCCCTATTTTATAAAGTTTTACTGGAGCACAACCATGCCTGTTTGTTTTCATATCATCTATGGCTACTATAGAGAGAGCTACAATGACAGAATTGAATAATTGCAACAGAGACTTTATGGCTTACAGGCCTGAAATACTTTCTGGCTGTTTAAGAGAAAAGCTACTCTAGTTTATACATTTAGCTCAGTTCCAGATGGGGAAACTGAGATTCAGAGAAGATGGATGGAGCTTTCCCAAGGTGTCTCAGCATCTAAACAGGAGAACTGGGATGAGAACTCCATTCTCGACTGTCATATATTGTTCTTGTTGGCCAGGAACATAATTTGCCAAGCCCAGTACAAAATGACAATGTGGGTCCTCTTTTAAGAAATCATTGGAAATTTCAATATGACATTGCATGGTGTGTTAGTGCACATCTGTAACCCTAGCTACTCAAGAGGCTGAGGCAGGAGGAGTGAAAGTTCAAGGCCAAACCTGGGCAACTGAGTGAGTCCCTGTCTCAAAATTTAAAAGGGCTGGGGATGTAGCTCAGTAGAAGTGTGCTAGCCCTGGGTTCAATCCCCACTACCAAAAAAAATTTTTTTTTTTACAATATGAGAACAGGAGTGCATGTGAACCACACACAAGACCTATCTGCATATGGAGCCCTACATGACTATATGGGCTGCATATTCCTGAAGCTGGACCTATATAGTTCCAGGATAGCATTCTTAAGGTATAGAGGGACAGGCCCAGGCCACCTGTCTGCCTCCCACAGTGGGCTGTCTTTAACTCAGCTCCTCTGACCCTAAACCTTGCAGCCAGCTTCCTCACGTCTCCAGACCCTTCCAGGAGGATGGGCTTAGATATGCTTCCTGACTCATTGGCAGGACCTTGCCAGGGCTTTACCTCAAGAAGGAATCACCCGTGCTTAGGGACCTTCCTCCTTATTCTGACCATCCCCTCTCTCCCCAGACCCACAACCAGGACATCGAGAAGCTAAAAAGCCAATACCGAGCCCTGGCCCGGGACAGTGCCCAGGCCAGGCGTAAATACCAAGAGGCCAGCAAAGGTTTGTGGCTTCCCTTGCTAGCAGGGAGGGAATCCCAAACCAGTGCTCACCTGCCTGTGGGTGTCCCAAAAGTGAGGACTACTCAAGCCCCTATGCTGACACTTTTCTCCACACCTCCCTCCCTCCCACCTGCAGACAAGGACCGTGACAAGGCCAAAGACAAGTATGTGCGCAGCCTTTGGAAACTCTTTGCCCATCACAACCGCTATGTGCTTGGTGTGCGGGCTGCGCAGCTGCACCACCAGCACCACCACCAGCTCATGCTGCCTAGCTTGCTGCAGTCGCTGCAGGACCTACACGAGGAGATGGTGCACATCCTGTAAGCCCGCAGTCCCACCCTAGCCTTGTAACAGTCCTAAACCCACTACTAGGCCCAGAAGCAGGGCCTAGAAAATTCAATCCTGTAAAAGCATGGACCATGTAATTGGGTGAGGATGGGTCCTTAGCCAGTCGACTTAATCCAAATTACATTATTCTAGGGCCCCTTATAGCAAGTGTACAGTTGTAGCAGCAAGAGAGCTTTAGAGGGTAGCAAAGGGCCAGTGAACCTTCTGCAAAGCAAGAGAGGGAAGAGTCCTAGGGTTTAGTTAAATTCACTGAGCATTGTTCTACACTCTGGAATGTAGCAGAGAAAAATGTAGACAAACATCTGTCCTCAGAATCTTCCACTTTAGTGAAGGGAGGGAGGGAAGAAATAAAATAGGAAGTATGTTACGAGTGATAAGTGCTGTGAAAAAAACTAAACTTAGGGAAGAGGGTTAGGAGGGCAGGGGAGGAGCTGCAATTTTAAGTAGAGTGCTCTGAGAAGGCTTCTTTGAGATGATGATGTTCTGTAATTCCAGCGACTATGAAGAAAGGCAGAAGCATCAAGTCCAGTCTGAGCAACTTAACCAGATACTGTT